TTGCACTTGGCTGTAAGTGCCTTTACTTGCTGAATCATCTCTGGCCTGAAATGGAACTGTCGTGAGCTAGTAGTCTGGGTGGCAATGATAGATGTTGCTGTTTCTTCAGAAACTTCACCAAATCTCCAGCCCTTCTGAGCTCCCTGCAGTACGCTGGGGGGCCATGGGGGTCAAGCAAGCCTTCTTGATAAGCATACTCATTTTAGGTGCACATATTTAAGCGATACTATGCGGTGTTTTGACACAGGGAGTAGAATGGTTTCTCCGTCAAGCACTCAGAGATCTGGCATACTACAAAGGCGCCTTGAACACTGCATCCCCGAAGGGTATTTGTCTCTTCCCCTTTTCTCATCCCACCCTCCGCCTCCCTCCTCTTCCATCTTTCATTTTTAACTATTTATTATATCAAACCTCTTAAAGATTCATTTGTAACATGACCTTTATCTCCACGGCATCTTAAAATCTATCCTGAAATTTTCAACTTGAGGTTAAGAGTGAAGGAAGCCGTTTAGGTGGAAGCGCACATAGATATTTGATGTGGACACAGATTTTCTCAGCACAAAGCAAATTTTTTCCAAAATAGTTCTTTACACTTTTTTAGTTTTATTTTATATGTATGAATGTTATTGCCTACATGTATGTGACTGCACACGTCGTGCAATGTCGTGGAGGTCAGAAGAGGGATTCGCATTCCCCTGGAACTGGAGTTAAGGACGGTTCGTAGTTGCCTTGTGGGTGCTGGAGGTCAAACCTGGGTCCTCTGCAAGAGCAGTCAGTGTTCTTAACCACTGAGCCATCTCTCCAGCCCCTTTTATTTTTATTGATTATTTTTATTTTATGTGTATGAGTGTATTGTCTGCATGCATGTGAGTACACCCGTGTCGTGCAATGATAGTTCTTTAAACTCTTAAATGGACATTTCATATTTGATGAAGCAGGGAATTGGAGGACAGGAGGAAAGACAACAAGAAAAAAGCTTGATAGATAAATCTTTATTTAAATGTTTATCATGTTCCATGCACAACTTCGAGCAGGAATCAGAGTTTAGAGCTGGGCTTCCATGGGACCCCAAGCATCTTCACACTAAACACTTGGCACAGGTCAGGTTGCGGTCACAGATGAGGGAGTGGGGAGGTACAGGACGTGGGCAGAGGCTTTGTGTTTGGGCTGAGTTCATGATATGCCTCTTTCTCTTAGTAGTTCTGAGACCTCTGGGCAAGATAATCTTGCGATTTCTAGATCTTTCTTCTCATCTGAATGGGCAGGAATAATACCTATCTCAAGTTTGTTTCTTTGAACAGAGTTAGCATGGATAAAATGCACCTAGCTGCCTAACACATTAGGAGAGTTCATGATTATTCAGACCCTTACTAAAATAAGGCTGGCAGAGAGAGGCCTGCTGAAGATCTCAGACAGACAAAGAGAAAAGGCCCGACAATAGCTGACTTCCTGTTACCTGCTGGGGGGAGGGAAGTTGGTACACGTTCTGGAAACCAGCTCATAGTACTCAAATACAAGCGGATGCTGTGACTTGCAACTCTACTCCTTGGAACACACTGCACCATGCACATCTTATGTGTTCCAAAGTGTCCTTACAACAGCATGGCTCAAAATGGCAGGGAAGTCAAAAACAACTCAGATGCAGAATGGATAAACACAATGCAACATTTCTGACAGCATAATACTCTCCAGCAATGGCTGTCGAGGAACATGGCCACATGTGCCAACCTGGAGGAACCTCACAAACGAAGCTGAGTAGAAGACGGTAGACATAGAGGAGCATGTGTGCTAAGACAGCATTTGTGTATGTGCCATCCATAGGCAGACCAATCGGCAGTGCAGGCGAGGGTCAATGGTTACCTTTTTGGGGGGAGGAGTTACTGGGTGGGGAGGTGTCTGAGTAGCCTGCTGGTACTAAGGATTAAAATGTGTACTCATGCCAGGTGTGGTGCTGTTCACTGTTAATCTCAGCCCTTGGGTGGCAGAGGCAAGCAGATCTCTGAGTTTGGGGCTAGCTGAATCTACGTAGCGATTTTGAGTCCAGCCAGGGCTACATAGCAAGACTGTCTAAAAGAGTGTCATCACCTTTTGAAAATCCTTCCAACTGATCTACATTTTCTTTATGCATTTTTCTCTAATAGTTTAAGAAAAATAGTTGGTTTAAGTATTGAAAAGATGTCTTTATACATTCCTTCTTACAAAAGGAGAGACACGATCTACAGGTCATTTCCCACCATGACAGACTGTCACTATAAGTCAGGTCACGCTGCGCACACAACAACCCTTCGGGCTCAGGAGCTAATACAACAGCATGTTCCTTGCCCGTTGGCACATGGCCAGCATGGGCTGGTAAGGGCTGCACACTGCAGTGACTCAGGGACCTAGGCTGAGGGGAATTCCATTCAGCCACAAGGGTCCACGACCACCAGAGCGGAGGGAAGCACGTGTGGCTAACTACGCTGGTTCTCAACCTGGCTGCGCGCACATTTCAGAAGCCGTGAATGCGCACGGGCAGGCCTGACTTCAAAGGGGCAGCGCCCTGCTATGGGCAGGAAGGAGGCAAGATGCAAGGCGACTGCTCCGTGTCTGCAGTGTTTGCTCCAGGTTCAGTCAATTTCAGTCCTGTTCCCAGAGAACTGTTTCCATGTCCTCTGTATCTTTCCTTCCTCCCTACCCGCCAACAGCAGGAAAGAAAGCTAGATTTCCAGGCCACTGCTGTCCCCCGTGCTAACTGCCACCAAAAGGGTGATGGGCACTGTGTGACTGGTCTACTGGAGGGCACCGCTGGTTCTTCTGTGGACCAAAGAGCACAGTGCAGTCGCACTCAGGGGAGCCACAGTCATGGTGGAGGGTGGCAGAGAATCCTGCCTTTGAAGGTGACACCAGTGGGAACAGTGGGGCTGTTGCACAGCCTGTGAGACGAGTCAGGGGAAAGGAAGGAAAGGAAAGTAGAGGAGAACTCTGTGTCTAACAAGCCATAGGTGCAAAGCTTTTCTTCAGCCCTATATAGTGACTCTGGGCTTTGGAAGGTTTTCTGATGTTTACTAGGTGTGATGGCCAATCCTGGGTGTCAACCTGACTGGATCTGGGGTAAACTGAAATGACAGAGATCTTCTTGATTGGATCATCTGAAGCTGGAAGACCCGCCCTGAATGTGGGTGTTACCTTCTGATGGCAGCCCGTAAAAAGGCAGAGACCAGCGCTTGCTTCTTGCTGCTTGCCTTCTCTCTCACTGGTGAGTTCGTCCTGTTGCTGTAGACTGAAGACTAGCCTATCTTTTGGAATTCGTCAGATCTTCAGCGCCAGATCGGGACTACTGAGACATCCAGCCTCATGGACTGAGCGACTACAGATTCTCAGCCTCTCCAGGGTGGTGCGGCCATTGTTGGACTACTCGGACTCTATCTTTGAGCTAATCTGATAAATCCATATATATATATATACACACATATGTATTATACATACAGATATTCATTCTACTGGTTCTATTTCTTTAGAGAACCCTGACTAATACAGCTAGGTTTCTATTACCTAAGCACCACAGTGGAACTCACTGCTTACTAGCAAAGAAAGGACTTTGCTACAGTTAAGGAGGCAGTCAGTGGCCGGCTCCTGTCCAGCCAGCACAATGCCAGTGCGCTCGAGCCCTGCCACAGAATCCAGAGGGCACAGGTGAATCTTCATACTTTATCTTAGCATGTATGATGTATGTGAGTGGGTGTGTATGCCTAGATCACAGCATGTGTATGGAGGTCGGAGGACAACTCAGCTGTGGGTCCTTGCCTTCCTTGTCTGAGGCAGGGCCTCTTGTTCTCTGCCACATATGACAGGCTAGCTGGCCCGGGGACTTCTGGGTATTCTCCTGTGCCTTCCTCCCACCTGGCCACAGACAATGGGATCACAGAAGTGAGCAATGTCGCATATGGCTTTCTATGGGTTCTATGAATATGGCTAAGCTTCTCAGGCTTGTATGGCAAGCACTTTACCCGCTATGAGATTCCTCCCCATCCCTCATCTTTGCACTTTAAATGTGAATTCCTCCCTGAAATATATGGTGTGTTTAGTGGGTTCTATGAATATGGCTAAGCTTCTCAGGCTTGTATAGCAAGCACTTTACCCGCTATGAGATTCCTCCCCATCCCGCATCTTTGCACTTTAAATGTGAATTCCTCCCTGAAATATATGGTGTGTTTAGGAGAAATGCACTAACGCAGTTTGTGTGTGTGTGTGTGTGTTTGCACACATACATATTTTTTGGCAAACTGATGACAAATGTTGCATTGGGTCTCTTAGCGGACACATGGAAGAAGAACTGGTGGACGGGTAAGTCAAGGTAAAACAGTCCTATGACAGCCATAGGCTCTTGATTTCCCTCTGCCTACATGACCCAAATAACTCATTTAAATTCCAACAAACATGGGATTTGAGTATTGTGCCAATTCCTTTTATTGTGAAAGAAATCATTTCATTTAGTAAAGAACAATGGCATTGGGTCAAAATAGAAGACGTGGTGTAAGTGATCAGCAGTGTCAGAAGAGGAGCGTGGTTTGTTTGAAGCTGTAGCTGTGGAGACATCACATCCCCAAAACTTCAGGAGGAGCCCTTTAAGTGGCAGGCTTGGATCCAAGTTCCCAAATGGGTTTCTATATAAACTTTTCAGGAATACTTCTGCTGTGGAAAAGATGTTCGCAGCACGGGACTTCAAACAAAGCCCGGAGAGGAAGCTTCATTGAAGAACGTTTACTACGGACTGAAAGTTCTTCCACAGAAGGAAAGGTGCTGAGAGCCATTGTGCACCTGGGTAGGACTTAAAGACTGGAAATAAGAAAAAAAAAAAAAAAAAAAAAAAAAGTTGTAACCAAAAGGATTTGAATCCATTTGATTAAAAGTATTTTTTAAAATCGCACATAAGCATCCTGACTATTAGAGTTTCTGAGGTTTATGCACCACTAGTCATTTTCCAATTAACTGTATATCCTAATGCCCCCATCCTAAGAAGTCCCCGGGCCAGCTAGCCTGTCATATGTGGCAGAGAGCAAGAGGCCCTGCCTCAGACAAGGAAGGCAAGGACCCACAGCTGAGTTGTCCTCCGACCTCCATACACATGCTGTGATCTAGGCATACACACCCACTCCACTTGCATTTGTTGCTAAAAAGAAACCAAAAGGGTCTGGTTTGAAAGATGTTGCAGCAGCTGTGATTTGGATTGAGGTCAAATGGTTCAACTCAATTCGAGACAGGTCAAGCCTCATTAAAAAGAAGGGCCCAGAGAAGGCAGCAGGGCCAGTTCAAATGACTGCTCTTTGAGACCGATGTGGTCACTTTCCCACTCATTGCGTTTTAATTAGAAACTTGTTCCTTACAGACACTTCATTTGGTTGTGTTGTAAGCATAGACCTTGACCAGAAAAGCAAAAAGAAAAGCAACGAGAGCCAGGCCCACAGCTATCCTCAGTGCACAGTCGTGGTGGGTCACCTGCAGCAGCATCCTTCTGGAATACACTGAGCTATGTGGAGTTGCAGCACAGGGGTCAGAGGTCGAACGTAGACGATTCCCAAGCCTACTTCTGAATTCCTATAGAGAGAAACAGATAGGAAAATAATATCATATACAGAGAAATCTCCGTTGTCTATCAGCCAAGGTGCCTCATTCCTTCAGCATGGGCACATTCGGGTGCCCCGCATGGCCCAGGTAGCTCCAAGGCTGGTCAGCTTCTTTTTCTGAAGGCTAGACCACAGTCATGGTTTTTTTAGACTATACGGGAAGACACTGTGTTCAGCAAACACACCTTTTAGGACAGACATTCTGAGTTGTTCTGCCATTGGGGTTGGGCTGACCCTGACTCCAGGTGGGCCTCGAAGGGTCTGACCGACTAGAGGGACCCACTCCACGAGTCCCTTCTGTTTATCCTGGTGTACCAGACAAGCACCTTCATTTCCTTTGCATGCTGCACAGAAGCGCCTGGGCAGCCCAGCTTGGGGAAGAGTCCAAGGACTGAGCAAACCAGCTGCATGGCTTTTCTCAGAGGTCTGCACTTGGCAGGGCTTCTGGGGGGAGCACGACATTCATGCAGTTTCAGTTCTTCATAGCATGACTCTACTGTAAGAGCTTTTCACCTTGCACACCCCCTTAGAATGAATGCCTCTCATACAACACGGATGCTTCTGCTGAGACCTCACACTGAGAGGTGGAAAGGATGGAGGGGCCGCACAGATGATGGGACACGTGACGGAAGGATCACTGAGGAGGAGACATGGTGCCCGAGGTAGTGCGTGATGGTGTGTGCAAAGCACAGTTGTTACTTGAGGATGTCCTTCCATAAGTACACCCCTCAGAAGAGCATCTCCCGGAGGTTGGGGCATGTTGGGTGCTCCACTAATCTGCTGTTGTCTCTCCCTGCTGAGGCTTGTGTGATATCCCCTAGGAGCTTCCAGCTCAACTGCCTGAAAATAGCTCTATGCTCTCAAGATCGACACTCACGGAGGGTCTGCAGTTTTCAGTAATTGTCAGGAGTTACTTGTATGAAACTGCTGTCAAACCAGGAAGAATGCACTTGATGCATTCACAATGTCAGGATTGCTGGTAACCCTGGGCGTACGTCCCTCCATCACCATGCCTCCTTGTGTTGCATAGTCCAAACGGCTTAATTAACTTTGGTAATTATGGCCAGAGTTGTACATACTGGGGATGATGGATTCTGTATTACACCAAGCACTAGCTGGTCAAAAGGATCCCTCAGCTCAGGAAGTGTTCCACGGGCCTTCTGGAAATGTAAGCCCATTGGCCTAATGAAGCTTTTTCACAGTTAGGCGATTGTCTTGTGAAGCTGACTTTACTAACCATCTTCTCCCATGCCTTCTTTTTTTCTCTGTCCTGTTCGAATAACTCCTAATACTCCTATTTCTCCTTGGGCATGCCTTTTTACAATTTATTTTAAATATCTTATTATTTTTATTTTATGTGTATGAGTGTACTGTCTGCATGTACGTAACGCGCCCGTGTCATGCAATGCCCACAGAGGTCAGAAGAGGGTGCTGGATCCCCTGGAACTGGAGTTAAGGAAGGTTGTTAGCCACCATGTGGGTGCTGGGAACCAACCTGGGTCCTCTGCAAAAGCAGCCAGTGCTCTTAAGCACTGACACACCTCTCCCTTCCGTTGCTGGCTTTTTATTTTTTATTTTTTCATGGTACCCTGACACAGATTTCACCATATAGCCCAAGCTGACACTGAACTCAAGATCTTTCCTCAACCTTTCTGCGCTGAGAGTGCAGACGTGCAACACTGTGCCAAGCCTGAAATTTTGAACATACTTTAATTCCCCAAAATAGTTTATTAAATCCTAGAAAAATAATAAATCTGATAAACAGAACTAAATATATATACTCCCAAATATATACATATACACACCCCCAAACTAACCAAACAACAAACTTGCAGGTTCAGAAACCCAAGGCTGAGAATTCCAGCAGTTAGAGACAAGGCTGGGAGGGAGCGCCCGCCCAGCTCAGATCACTTCCCCCTTCTCCAGCAAGAATTCGTTCTTCCATGGGGACAGAGGAGATGTCTCTGACTTGAGTGTGTTCAGTGCCACAGGACACACATGGGACTGTGGCTCTGGGAGCTGTGAGTGCTCAGGCTCGAGAATTCGTTCTTCCATAGGGACAGAGGAGATGTCTCTGACTTGAGTGTGTTCAGTGTCACAGGACACACATGGGACTGTGGCTCTGGGAGCTGTGAGTGCTCAGGCTCCGGGCTCCAGTTCCAGCTCCACTAGTGTTCTCGGGCCCATTATCCCCTCACTGTGTGCATTTCCTCATAAAACGGAGATGCTTAGGGTATTAGTATTTGTGCATCACTGAGTTGTTATGAGGACTAAGTGAGACAGGAATAAAGTATCCAGAGCATTTAAACTCAATTAAGATCAATGTATTCCATAGTACTCTGCAGTTCTAATGGACTATGCAAATGGCTTCAGACGTTCTTGTAAAATTACAAAGTCACTATTTTATTTGCTTTTCAAAGATGATTAATCTATTCATGGAACTTTGGTTCCTTGTGAAGAGCAGCAGGAGGCATGCCGCATGATGAACGAGCACAGGTTTTGAATTCTGGCAGACCAGAGACTGAATCCAAGTTTAGCTAGCCATGTGATCAAAGCCTAATTACTACTGTGATATAGAAATGCCAACCTCTGCCTTAAGACAGTGTTGAAAGTTGGAAGCCACATGCCCAGAGCCCAGGCAGATCTCTGGAATAGAGAAGTTTACAGTACAAGGCTGCTATAACTGCTGCACGGCAGAGTATGGCTTGGAAAAGAGAAGACGAGAGTCTCGGCTGACACTGAGCACTGGTACCAAGAGGATGATGCCCTGTCTTAAGCAAAGTCCTCACAGACACTAACCTATGAGAGGAAGCCATACCCATCATGCAGTCAGCACTCCCTGGAAGATGGGCAGTAAGGCTCCCTGTCAGGCAGGAAGGTTGTGGAGTGTGCCTCAGGGGAAAGCTCTTAACTAGGACCACCATCTACCCCCGTCTCTTCTTGTAATTATTTTCTAAGTATGAACTCAGACAGGACTTGGATTAGGAAAACCTCTCCCAACCACCCCGCCTGCATAGGCCTGCATGTCCTAGGCTCTGTCCCTTAGCACAGTGTACACTAAGTGGGTAAAGGGCCTGCTTACTGCTTCCCACCCCTGGCTGCTCCTTCTGGGCAGGACCTCCTTATTCTCTGGTGGATGCTCAGGGTCTGGGACCAAAAGGGGCAAAGCTAACTGAATGAGTGCTGAGGTTTCTACCTGCTCCTTAGCATTATAAAGTCACACTTTATATAGATACAAATTCTCTCCATGGGAAATGCCATTTGCCTGTACTATTTCTTACTGGACTGCCAGCTAAAGGGGACAAGGTCACTAGCGAGGAACCAGCAGTGTGATGGCTAATCACACTGGATTTAGAATCACCTAGGAGATAGCTCTGGGCATATCTGTGAAGATATTTCTACTCAGGAACATGGGAGGCACCAACCGTCCTATGGTTAGGTCTTGAACTGACTAAAATGGGGACAAAGAGAAACCCAGCTGAAAACCAGCATTCATCTCTTTCCTGACGAGACACCATGTCACTAGCAGCCTCACATTCTACTACCACGCCTCCCCACTATGTTAGGTTGTTTTTGCCTCTCAAACCATGAGCTTAAACAACCTCCTTTCCTTCCTTAGTTATGTCCGGTGTTTTGTCATAGCAATGAGAAAAGTAATTTATACCTGTGGGATATTAGTTTTCTAATGCAACCTAACAAATCACCACAAACCTAGAATAGTAACCAACACACACTTTTTTTTTTAAGTTTCACAGGTCAGGTGTTCTTAAGATCTTAGTGGTGGCAAAGCATTCTTTGTAGAGGCTCCAGGAGAGAATACACATCTTTGTTCCTCCTGGCCGGAGGCTGTCTGCATCCACTGGGCCGTGGCCCTTTCCTCCATTTCAAAGTGAGTTGCACAGGGATTGAAACATCACAAGAAGAATCCTGGGGTCATCCAGTAGAATCTTCCCACCTCAAGATTCCTCCTCAGTTGCATCTGCAAAACCCTTCTTTCCACATTAGGAAATGTATTTGCAAGGTCCAGGGACTAAGAGGTAAGCCGACTGTGCCCACCGCTCATGGTGGGCATGATGCCCCAGGCTCTCATCCCACTAGTCTGTATGCTCAGCTCTGGCATGGCTGAACCAGCTTCACAGCACAGGGGACTATGCTCCAGGAGCATATTTACAAGCAAAGGTGCAGGCAACTGTTTACAAGGAAACATGTTTGCAACATTTTTACAACATGCTTCCAAGGAAAGGTGCAGGCTGACCAGGAAGCCTCCAGAAGGAGGAAAGCTGGGATCTCCCAGGCTCAGTCTCTGCCAAGCCTTTACATTCCTCCCAGCTAACACAATTCTGCCTCTAGGACCACAAGTTTTATCCTGCTCGTGAGACTTGCTGCCATAGGAGGCCCTGAACGAAAGGGCACCAGGGAGGTGGCTAGGCATGTTTGCTGGAGAGACTGTGGCACTTCTGCCTGTTCCTTCCGATCTATATTTACAGTGTCATAGTCACAATACCCCTTCCTTGGGACGTGCATGGGCTTGGCCTCCAGGGGAGGAGGTCAGCCCATCAGTGATTTCCTCTGAAGTCTCTCCTCGTCACTAAGAAGATTAGTGATAAGCTTTAGTACGTATGGAAGAGCTCCAGAGCCAGAAGCAAAAGGATCCAGAAGGAAAGGGAGAGGATGGGAGCAATGTAAAAATGCTAAATCATAAAATGTAAATATCACTTGGGAGGCAGAGGCAGGGGGATCTGAGGCCAACCTGGTCTACATAGCAAGTTCCAGGCTAGGTAGGGCTACAGGGAGACCCCATCTCAAAAGAGCCTAAATAAATAAAATAGAAACAGCAGTATTTCTGGAAGGTTCCTTATGTGCACAGGAAGGCTCTCCTACTTATACACATTCTATCCTTTTGCCTTTCGGACTACTCAATGAAGGAGCTGATAGAACTTAACTCTGCTAAGTCAATCACCAAATTCAGCT